TATTTATGTATAAAAGTATATATACTTTTTATATCATCAGTCAGTGGAGGACCTCACTCTGCTCTTACAGAAAAAACATACAAGCATACACAGTAATTTCTCTGTTCACTGGTTAAGACAGTGATTAAAATACACAGTTTGAGACAGCAAGGCAGTGTAAAACCGACCATTTTTATACTTGATTCAGTTCTTCCTTTCTTTTTTTCCCCGCTGATCTTATTTTGCTCCGCTAAAATTTACCTTCTAGTTTACTAGAAGCACATTAGGTCTCAACTTCAGAAGTGACCACAGTGAACAAAACAAGAGAGGAGGAAAGGCAGAGAAATCCTCCTGTTGGTGTCTCACTCAATACTCATATCCCTGCATCACTGAATTGCCAGAGACACTGTCAAAACTGAGTCAAACCCAGGCCCATGGATGTAGAGCCAGAAGTAATGACCACATGTTTACATCCATGACGTACCAGGATCTGAAAAGGACTCTGCATTTTATGTTCATACTTTCACACACACACATAGACACCCCCAAATGACCTGCACTTTCAGGATCAAATTAAAATCTCATGGCAGTGCCTTTAAAACAAACCATTACTTCCCAAAGCTGGACACAGAGCTGTTAAAGGAGGCAGCACATCGCATGCCAGGATCCTGTGGCACTGCCGTCCTGCAGGCTGGAGCTCACCATGTGCTACAAGGGGACTGAAATTCCAATACATGAAGGGCCTCTGAGAGGGTATGGGGGATGGACCCTCTAACAAAAATACACTCTTTTAAAAAACTAAATACTTCATTTGTGGAAGAGTCTTTTGATCATTATAAACATCGGGTTTAACCACTGTGGTGTCTCCTGCCAAGTGTGGTTTAAAGATGACACATCATCATGGCACCAGGAACAGACTTGTTGATTAGTTAAATAATGGGACTACTTTCAGACCATTTTTATAGCTGAAAATTCTCATGGCATAAAAGAGTCATCATACAGTTATTTCGCTACAGAGAACTGTTATTTTTCTTAGAATAACTTTGAACTTTGTAGCTTTTGGGGAAGGGGGATGTTTTTCAAATAAAACCCTGCTTCCAGTCTTCCCCAAAAATCTCAGCTTGTATTAGCTGGAATGATAACAAATTCACAAAGATATGTATTCAGGCAGCTTGTTAATTTAGCCAGAGCTTTTATATGTTACTAAATCCAAGCAAAGATCTAAAGTAAGACACAAAACACGACCAATAAAAAAATGTTCCAAAAGATATGGACTGAGATTTTAAAGCTGAGTAAAGGACTCAGGCACACAAGTCCCAAAGGAATTGATTAGTTATGTGGTTGATAATCTCAGTTAATATGCCATGTTAATTCCTGATATAACTTCATTGTCTTCAGTGGAGTTACACTGCAAATGTATTTGACAGATAGTCATGTTTCTTCTCCAAGAATAACTTCTAAGGCAGAAGTTTAAACATGAGTGAATGAAAGTCCTGGGCCAAGTTCTATCCTAATTTAAACCCTGTACAAGACAGCTGATTTGGAAGTGAGGGTGTGAGGAAAGGCAGAAAGAGACATGAGTCTGTTCTTCCTTTGCTGGGACATTACATCAATTCCCTTAGGTAATGGTCATGTCTCCAAAAAACACAGTGGAAATCCAAATTGCAGTTCGTTGGGGATTCTTTCCTTCTAAGCCCACAAGTTCTTGTATTTCACAAGCAGTAAGTGTTTGGGGAAGAGCCTGGTCTAGTCTTGGTGGAGGACTATGGAATTTACTCCTATTAGATACTGCATCAATTTGAATCTTGCCTGCTTCAAAATGCATTTTATCTTCTTTGAGGATAAGCACTGGAAATGGTAAATTTAATATGAGCACTGGAATTGGTCACCTAATTTAATCAGTAAATTATGTGCTTCAGACATTCTCAACCTCAATGTTGTTTTGAATCAAAATCCAGCATTTTAATTAATTTTTTAGTGTGTTGGGTTATTTTGGCTCATGGTTAGAGTTAAATGTCTAAATAAGGTTGACAGGTCAAACAGGGTGCACACACCTTTGCTAAGGTGAGAAAGTGGTAATGCCCATCTCAACTCTTTCTATGCAGCATTCCTAAGGACACAAGGAAGTTTTACTGATTTGCATAAAGTGTCATTTATGCCAGCAGCAGCAATCTGAGTGCTACAGCTCTAAGTGTAGTGAATTCCTAATGTCCTCACTTCTGATTCTTCTGTTGGAAGAAGTTATTTTAGTAAAAAGTGATGTAATCTGGCACTAAATGAGCTCAACATAAATAAAATGGCACCATAGTAATACCCCTGCTCTAGGGGTATCACTGTGAGAGCAGGCAGCATGAGCCAGCAAGCTGGACCCACAGCCTGAATACTTGCCCTTCCCAGGTCTCCTCTCATGGACTATTTTCTATCAAATCAGACAGCAGTCACATACACTGCTTTTAATAATCAACTGGATGTCAGCGGTCCATCTGGTAAGCAACCCTAATGAGGCAAAAGTGGAGACATTTCCCATCCAACATAGTTTGCAGTAGTTATAAACAGGACAGACACTGGATCAAGAGCATCTCACATTCCCCATCTGTGAAATGCAGCTGCTAATCTTCAGCCCTGTAAAAATGTGTGGAAGTGAAAAGCTCCATAGGATGGGCTGTGACAATTGCCATGAAGGAGAGCAGGAGTATTTTGAGGGAATCCACCAGGCCAGAAGCAGGGAGGCTGAGCAGAGCCAGCCCCACAGGAACAGCAGCTCTGCATGGCCCCAAGTGTGCATGCCCCCAAAACTGGCACAGAGCCCAGCTCTCTGAAGCTGATACTTCCTCACTCACCTGGGGTTGTGCTGAGGTGGCATTTTCTTCCCTTCACCAGGTCCAAGCAAGCCTTATGCAAGTCCTTTATTACTGGCAGTACTTAGCGAGTAACTGGCTAAATTTGCTGTGTTCCCTGCTGAGAACTGCCGACAAGGGAGACTATATAGCATGGCAGCCACCTCCCACCATTCCTTTTTAGTTCAGCTTCCTCCTGTTTGTGTGATTATTTGTTATTTCTGAAAACAGGCTTCCCTTCTGCAGGTGAATACAACCCCTTTTTTCCCTCCTCACCAGAGGTCACATCTGTGATCTCCAGTTCTTCACTTCTGTAGCACTCCTGTACCATTTCATCCCGTGTACATAGCTGTACTTCTCTCAGGCTCATCTCAGCTGTTTCAGTCCAGTTCTACCTTTCCTTCTTATCGCTTGTCTCCTCACCTCCTTCATTTGAGCTAATTCCAAAACCAGCTCTTCTCCCTCTTCTCCTTGAGAGCTGCTGCTCTCTATCCCCTGTCACAGACATTAGTGCTTGACAGAGCTGATCTAGTTGAAGATGATCCTGCTCATTACAGAGCAAGGTTGGACCAGATGACCTTTAAAGGTCCCTTCCAACCCAAACTGTTCAATGATTCTATGAAAAAAGTCCTGGTGCAGACATCATCATGGATGGAAAATAAGCTACACAGAGATCTTCATCTAGTATGATGACATCCACATTAGGACTACAATTTAAAAAGTTACTTTGGCAAAGAATTGCCACATTCACTCTGAGAGCCAAGGAGAGCATTTCTGCAAAGGCTAAAATAAATTAAAAAGTAGAATTTCCTAAGGAAAATAGAAACTTAAAATAACACCAGTTTAAAATTGCTGCTTGTGCAGTGATCTCATTTCCTTTGGCTCAGCTTCTTATTTCCCCTCCAAGTGTGAGGCATAGTTAAACCTTCCTGAGAACAAATGTTCTGATTGTATTTAAAAGATAGGTTCGGATTAAGCAAAGGTTAATTAATTATATTTATTCTGTAGAGTGTTGCCTGGTCCTAGTCTTGGGTACAGAAATCTGGGATGTGGGGCATTCTCGTGGCTTTAATTTTAAAAGCGATCAGAACTAGGTTTAGCTGTCATCTTTTACTCTCCGTCTGCAACTGCAAGAACAGAACAATCCTGTAGGGCTGATGACAAGGAAAACTTTGCCGATAGCTGAAATTACTGCAATCCTAGCTAGTGCAGTCGTATCTCTAGCTCCATTTTGGAAATGCAGAAAGGATTTTGAATCATTAGCAGTGGTGAATGCTTTGTTTACACCTCTAGAAATTTAAGGCACTGCTTAGTTTTAAATTAGAACATGATCAGTATCCTGACAAATCCTTTATAGGTTGTTTTTAAACGGGGTGGAGGGATTAAAAAAAAAAAAAAAAAAAAAACATAAGTAGCAAGTTCTTAGCCTATAAACTTAAACTGAGGGCTAGTTATCCAGTGCTCCAAAATCTAAAGCTTTATTTCTACTTCTGCAAATTCATTAATAGCGTTTGTTGACCATTGGCTTAAAATATTACAGCTGATTGCTTCAAGTGACAAGTAGGCAAAACATGAAAGATAAATTGTTGCAAGGAAGGCATGCCAAAATGGAAGAAGGAAACTATTTAGCCAATTACATGTTTACCTTACAAGGTTTGAAATCTGAAGGGAAATTTTTTAAGAATTAAACTATTTTGAACACCCCTAGTTTTGAATCTTCAGTGCATCATGGATCAAAAGCAGCCAGTGCTTTTTCCACTGGTCATGGGAAACCTAAAGCATCCAAAATAGTGGGTTTTTTTCAAAGGACATCTTCTCATAGCACAGGGGTTGTTTGGCCTTTTTAATGGTAGGAGCTAATCTGACAAAAAAATAAGTGAGGAAAAAAGTTAGAGACTACCATTGAAAATCTCTTTGCATTCTTTGTGCTGCATTGTTGCATAGGTAAATGATTAATGCTGTGAAGAGTTTTGTTTTCATTTTGTTCCCTCCCTTCAAAATTGTAAAGTAGGCCACAAACAATGAAAAGGTCTTGACTGCCCCAATAAGCAAAGCTGAATTCTGCTCACAGTTCAGGGTAGCTGCTACATGCCCATTGACACAGAAAAATTTGCTGGTAAAGCTTTAAAAAACAGATTAGTTGATGACTTGTGCATCTCACCTGGAATCTTTTTGTTCCTCCAGCTCTCGTTGTACGCTTCCTGACCAAACGGTTCATCTGGGAGTATGACCCAACACTAGGTAGGTTGCATTTCATTTTATACACATGGTATGCTGTATATAATAGCACAGCTGAAGTAATGGAAAGTCAGAGTTAAAATTCCAAGACTCAGTCAACCTTTAAATTTGCTGTAAAAAACTTCTCTATGGTCATTTAAAGCTGGAACAAATTATTACCTAAGATGGCAGAACAGAGAAGCAGTAACACACTCAAAAAAAAGCAGAATAATATATGAGGCACATTTCTGCCCACACAGAAGTCAGTGGGAATTTTGCCATTGAAAGCAATTCCGTTAGTATTTCACTCTGAAATTTTCTTAGTGTGCAATCAGTTTTATGCTTTTGGATAACTCAAACATCAACTGCTAGAGAATAAGATGACTGGGATACAGATCTCAAAAATTCAAGTGGAAAAAAAAAATTGCAGGTACTTACAGTCAATCTACCTATCCTAGTTAAGTTTTCTATCCTCACTTTCAAACATACATTGCATCTCACGTTTTGGGTGACCAGACAGGGACGCTAGTCATCCAAAGAGCATCCACATGTCTGCTCCACTGCTCCCACTTAGCTGTGTTGGGTCTCACACTTTTGAGAAGCTGGCTCAGATATCTCAAAAAATATGTTAGACAGTTGCTCTGAATTAGAGGCCTTGCTTGAAAATTTAGGCCCAGGTCCAATTTCTTAGTATTTCCTGAGTTAGCATGTATTTGAATGCTCTGCATCAGGGAAAGTCCAAGCCAAGCAGTCTGAGATGATGCATTTGTATCTTAGAAGACACCTTCATTACCTCAGTACTAAGTGATTTTTACATGAAGTAAGGGTCTGAGAAATTTCCTTTTCTCTTATAATCTGTTGCCATCTCCTTCCTAACCTTTCCTCAGAGGCTCAAATACAGATTGTGCAGTTAAATACCTGTTTTTTGTTAGGGTTCTTTCTCTAAGATGTCACACTAAAGAAATAGAGAATGCCATAAACTTGTACAGCAGAAACAAAAGTGAAAGTTTAATACACTTTTTTGTGAAACCCAGGCAGGTCTTTCAACAAAGTAACCAGTGTCGTACTAAGTATTTTTGTCTGGTAAGATGTAGTAATGACAGATATCAGAAACCTCATCTTGGGAAAATAATTCTCAGAACAACCTGAATTGAAATACAGTCTTTTATCTGCCGATATCAATATATTAATTAGTGAATTATACATCACCTGTCCTACACTGCACAGTGGGACATTCAGTATTAAGTTTTATTAACATTATTAGTACTTCACATCTCTATCACTACTATATCATTTTAAGAACTTGGCAACAGAGGTATATGAAGTGTTTTATGTCAGTATAGTCCAAGTTCATTAATGTCTTACATGGACACTGTATGCAAAAGTATCTTGTTGCCTTGTTTAAATGTGCAAATCAAGTTATTAGCAAGTTGAAAGGTTTATTATTTTTTGCCCCATTTTGATGGCCCTATGTCCTTTTTGGTATACAAGACCTGACATTTGTTTCTGTTTTAGAATGGAATACAACTGCAAATTAACTATACCCTTCAGAAATCTAATTGTCTTCTGTTTGGAACGCGGAAAGCTTTCCTCCAGATAACAGTGCTATCTCAATAAAGCAAAAATTATCTCTCTTCTGGCTTACCGAATTCTACTTTCTCATTCAGTTTAGAGAATAACAGCTTAAATCATGTATTACAGTTATTGCAAAGCTAAGTGCTTTAAGTTGCTCAGAGGAGAAGGTTTGAGAAATGCAAAAACTAATGAACTATTATCAAGAAGTTATTTCTTAATCACAGTAATCTCTGGTGGAAACAGCCTACCAGAGATTGGTTTTTTAAAGGCCTGTTTTTTCAAACTGTGGATCACAACAGGATTCAAAGGATGCTCTGAAGTGTTAGAAAAAAACCTCCTGAAATTCTAATCACTATACAGGCCTTCAGAAATCAATCAGAAAGGCACTGTACATTCAAAATCTTTGAGAAACAGTGCTTTAAGGAAGCTATTTCTGTCTTTATTGTGATCATCCTGTGGTGATTTAATGGCCAGTTACTTGTAAACATCACTGAGCTGAATTTACTGAGATGTTTTAGCTGAATAGATTCATTTCTTCTTAGCAGCCTTGGACTGACAGTTGGGTGGGAAGAGGGATAGCGATATATTCCACCAATATAAAATGTTTAAGTTGTGTTAGTGAGACCCATTCGCTCTACGGGGAGAATAAGTAGCTTTGTCAAGTTATTTTGAAAGGGCAGAAGTAAAACAAATGCAAACTATCTAGCTACTAAGCAAGGTGACACAGGAAGTATTGCCAGAAATCATTGGGGCTATGACAAAAATGTCGTATTTATAGTTTATTTCTTAGTCAGATTTTCAACTAACCCTTAGTCCTCTGATGGAAGGAATCCCCCAGATAATTCCTATTTTTAGGAGAGCTCTACAAGGCCCAATGGAAATTCAACATTTATCCTAAACTAAGCATCAGGGTAAAAAAACCTTTTCTTCTTTTCATTCAAGGGTGGCACATTTTAACTGGAAAGGAGAAAACACTCCTTTATAAATAATCTTTAGTACTCTAACCTTCCAGAAGAAAATTAAGCACCATATTTTTAGCATCATCTGGATATACTGCTGTGTCTTGAGGAGCCAAATTGCAAACCACAAAATATCTTCTGGCGGGAGGAGCGTCACTGAATCTTGCAACCTTTGGCACATGGAGCTGCTGCTGAAGTCAGGACTTTGCAGCTCTGCCACTTTTGTGCATGATGCTGTATCTGTGCAAGCATCGGTAGGACAGCTGCATCTTTGCAGAAGTACACATCACTGTGTTTTTTATTTTACTTTTCTCAGCCAACAACTGCAGCAAAGGTCATTTTCTGGGGAGTGTTAACCATCAGCCTTGACTCCTCCATTATTTCTGTTTAACTGGCAAGTCACTGTCACCATCTTGGCATGGATGTTTTGTTTGCTTTTTAAATAGGTGCCTAATCTCTCAGGCTAAATGGTTACCTGGCATTATCAAGCAAATGAGTTTCCACTTTCAGTCTTTATTTATAATGAATCACACAGCTATCTCACTTGTGAAGCAGACTTAGAAGTTGCAGTGAAAGAGCTCTATGTAGAAATAGGCAGGAACTGCACATTTTAAAAAATACATAGAATTGTTTTCTGAAATATTAAATATATAAATTCAGCATTAAACTTAGTCTTTAGATTGTTAAATATGTACCAAGAAAGGGAATTGGTTACCACATGGATTTCACCAAAATTCACTAATATTAATATATCTTTTTAAATAAACACAACTTGCAAATTTAGTGATGTTAGAAAGCCTAAAAACACTTGACCTGGTTCGGGCACCACTTAAGCCACAGCCTAAAAGCACTTCACAAGCATAAGCAATGTATCCATTGTGCTGTATTTCAGTTTGGCTCTATTAAGAGATTCATCGAAGAAGCATGAAAACAAGCATTCCTGTGTACCATTTCAGCAGCCAGGAATGGGGTGGCAGCAGGCTGACAGTTTCCCTGTCACTGAGGCAGCTCGGCTGAGGGAGAGCTTGCCACCTGAAAGCAGCTACCCTCGCAGCAGCAGCACCACTTGGGGGGCCCTCTTGGGGCTCTATCACCTTACCACTGCCACAAAAGCAGAGGTGTGTAAATATGTAACTCTTGCCAGCCAGCATCATCTTAGGGATAGACATACTCTATGGGGATGAGTTTCAAGGTGGAGGTGCAAAAACCTTTATTTGGCCACCTACCCTCTGTGGGTAAGCTATTAGGCTGAATGCAGGACTCCCATAGACCTCAGTGACCTAGGGCTTCACATGATCATTTTCAAGGCTGCTGTGAGTAGCTGCTTTACTCAATGCCAGTAAACAAGAATAACAGTCTGGAGCTCAGCGATTTCCCCAATGACCTAGTGACAATTGCCCAGAATTTAGTGTGCCATCACGTGACCTCAAAGATGTAGAGATACTGTAGTTTGCCATCAAAAAAGTGATATTTAATTGATTTTAAAATTGGAGATGCTGAATCTGAGTAAGTCATCAAGGGAACTGGTAAATTTATTTTTTCTTGGGGGCAAAATAAGAGGAGGAAGCCAAAAGAGTCATCACAGCAACAGACAGCACTGATGGCCTGTAGAATGCTTCATGGGCAACAGCTAATCACCTGCCTCCATAAGACATGACATACAGGGAGAATTTCCTGGATTAAATGGTGCAAGAAGAAAATTCATCATAGCTATGGCTAAGTGGGTGCTTTTTAAAATATTTTTTGCAGAATTTGTCTGAGAACACATTAATTGTTCTACCATAATTGGGACAGTTTTCTTAACTAGAAACAGAGCTGGGATATCTGAGATTTTTTTAAAAAGAGGGTATTATGAACTGGGTTTTGTAATTTGTTCTGAATTAGCATTTTTATGTACAGTTGGGAGAATCAGGTGCTTTGAGGTGCAAGGACTTAAAACTTCCGTTTTTGCCATGTAGTGGAAAAAACAAGAGAAATAAAACCCCAAGGAAGTGCAGAGACAGGTTCCTCAGTTCTTTCCTTGATTCTGTCACTGATTTGTTGTTCGCAGTCTCTCTGCATCTGCTTCTCACCTATAAAACCCTTCATCTTATAGAAGAGTTGTAAATCCTTTAAGTAATTGGCATTCATATGTCATTATCAAAGGTGCACAGAAACACCAAGCATTTCTCGAAAGACTGAATTTTAAACAAAAGTCTACTTATAAAATAACAGCAACCAAGGAGATAATATTTTTGTTGGTCTTTCTAAAAGTTGCTTGGCTTTCTCACACTATCTCTAGATATCTTTCTTTAGCTGTTCATATATTTCATTCAACTTTGCTAATCATCTGAAAGGAAAACTGTCCTTGAGCAGATAATCAGCAGAACAGTGCATGACAGACTGACCTATCTATGGAAGCAAAGACAGACAGCATAGGAGTTTATTTAATTAGAATGGGATAGAGAAAAGACTACAATTACTTTGAAGGAGCAGAGGTATCTGTAAAGA